TCAAACGGACCTGTGTAGAAATCGATTTTAAATGAGTCATCCAGGCACAGAAGGGTTTGTTTTGTGTTCTTTCAAAGGGCTGCGCTAACTCCTGTCCTATTTCATCTCCCGCTCCGGCTCTGAGAAATCCGTGCAGTCCACATCTGAGGTCCCCTCTTACACCTCGCTCCCACAAAGCAGCTTTGTGATGACTCACTCTGCTCCGTCCCCTCCACAGCAGATAGGCATCCTCAGGACAGGGACAAGGGCTGTTGTCAAAGGCGGGCCGGGACGTTTTCTCAATTGTGTCCCCGCGGTTGTGCAGGGCTGAGCTGCTCATTAGAGCTGCCATCTTGGGTTGTCTTGTTCAGGGCAGAAGGCAGGTGTCCCGAGCAGTGCCTGGACAAAGTCTGAGAGTGACCGAGAAACTCCCTCCAGGAAGTGTTTGCCTCTGGCCGTCAGGGAACAGACGCACGCTTTGTCCAGCCTCCAGAACACAGCCGCATTGACTCCACACAGCACTGGCAAAGGCGTTTCTTTGAGTCATCTGTGCTCTCTCTGTCACCCACTTGCTTGCTCGTTCATTCAGTCTGTGCCGAGCCCGGCTCCCAGTCCCCTGTGCTGGGCTCCACTCGGGGCCGGGGCTGCGGGGACGGGCCAGACCCGCTTTGTCCCCCAGCAGCTCCTTGTCCGTGTGCGGGTGCCACCTGCCCCAGAGGTTCCTCCCTGTGGCCTGTGGTCACAGCCTCCCGCTGTGTTTGTCCTCATCACCGAAGCTGTCTGGTTTTGTGGATCCTATCTCATATAGGTGTGGGTGAGGCAGCATTTTTCTACTTTTAAATTTTCCCAGAGAAAATTCCTGAGTAATGGGCTGCTTACTCTTTCTTTTGTGGTTAAATCTGGACCATGTTCTTCCCTTAATTTAACTTCAGTCTTTCTGCTTGGTGTCTGAGTACCTGGGGCTGAGGCTGCTTGAACATTTTGTCCTGTTTGACCTGATTAGGTCATAAAAATAACCTGGCTATCGTCGAGTCCATTCTGACTCATGGCGACCCCACGTATGTCAGAGTAGGACTGGGCTCCAGAGGGTTTTCAATGGCTGATTTTGGGGGAAGTAGATTGCCAGGCTTTTCTTCCAAGGCACCTCTGGGTGGACTCGAACTGCCAACCTTTAGGTTAGCGGAGTGTTCTAACCTTTTGCATCACCTAGGACCTCTCGTTAGGTCATAGGTTTTACAAATTAAGCCTTGTGGGGCACGTGGCAAAAACAGGGCACCTCCCATTAGGATGGAGACGCCGTCCTCCCCCGCACAGACCCCACGTGTGGGCAGAGCGTGCTCCTGGGCGGCGAGGGTGCAGACCCCACATGTGGGCAGGGCGTGCGCCTGGGTGGCGAGGGTGTAGACCCTGCAGGGCATGTGCCTGGGCGGCGAGGGCGCAGGCCCCGCGTGCGGGCAGGGCGTGCGCCTGGGCGGCGAGGGTGCACACACACACCTGCTGGTGCCTCGATGCCACCTTGTCCACCTTGCAGGTGTTTGCATCCCAGCAGCTCAGTGCGTGTGTGTTGAAGTGCTTGTTGGCCAGGAGTGTCTGGGCGCTTGAACTCGGGGCTGATGATGAACTGGTGATTATGAAGGACTATTAATGAAAGAATCAGGTGGACGGATTTATCTACCAGGTATTAATTCAGGGAAGATTATCTTGATTGGAAATGAAGGCTCGTCATTACTCTTGAAATCTCTTGAAAAACTTTTATTATGATAAAGTTCAAATAAATACAAAAGCAGAGAGACTAGTGTGTGGTGAACCCTCAGGTGCCCACCGCCCACCTGCAGCCACCCCCAACCTTTCCACCATTCCCACTTCATCAGCCCCCCACCCCCTTATCTTACAAGCTTTATTATACAACTTGGATGTTTGTCAATAGCTTACACAGTGAGGGAAAGAAAATTCCCATGGCTTGGGGCACTCGAGGCTATTAGCCCATGTCTCACATTTCTCACAGGGACGAGCGTGTGTGGCTGACTTGAGTCTATCGAGCAGCCCGGCGCCAAGTACTACCTGGAGGAGGCGATATGGAGCCAGGGTGGGTGGGGGCACAAGTCCTGCCTGGGGGCCCCCAGCTTGAGGTGCCTCTGGGGTGTTCAGCCCAGAGTTGGGGACGACCCTGGGTAATCAGAGTATCTGCTGACTGAGTCTTTTTACCTCTGACGATGACTCTTCAGTACGCAGAGCCCGCTTTCATGATTTAATGGAACAAGGGGATTGGATTTCTAGTAAGATCCTACCACAGGTCCTGCAGGTGAGGGCAGGGAAATGCTGGCTTCACGTTGGCCTGTGGCCCCAGTGGGGAGGCGCCATCGCCCGAGTCCCACACAGATGCACAAGGTGTGCGAGGGGGAGGTTTGTCCAGAACGTGCACCCCGCTGTGCCCTCTCATGGGGAACGTTAGTGTTCAGGGGGACACATCCTTGTGGGCAGTGCTTTCTCAGATACCTGCTCAGGGGCATGGGGAGAGGCGCCTTCTGCGGCCAGCCCCCAGCATGCTTAGGGGCATGAGGAGAGGTGTCTTCTGTGGCCAGCCCCCTGTGTGCTGAGGGGGCATGGGGGAGAGGCGTCTTCTGTGGCCAGCCCCCTGTGTGCTGAGGGGGCATGGGGGAGAGGCCTCTTCCTGGCCAGCCCCCTGTGTGCTGAGGGGGCATGGGGGAGAGGCCTCTTCCTGGCCAGCACCCAGCAGGAGGGACTTTGTCCCTTTCCCCTCTTCAGGCAAGTGGAAGGCAAGGGAGCGTCATCAGGTAAGGGGACTTGGTAAATTTTTGTCCCCATTGTCTATGCTACCCTTTGTTTTGACTTTTCTCTGCATTTATTTTAGTAACCAAATGTGTGTCCATGCATGCATGCGCGTGCACGCGCACACACACACCAGCAAACACGTGTCCACCCCAGGAACTTCTGACTTTCTTGTTAAGTTAGCTTTTGAAGTACCAGAGCTTCTCCTGTTCGCCGTCAGCCCTCAGGTGTCCCTGCAATTCAGTGTCCCCAGCACCCTTGTGCGGCCCGCTACACCCTCCTAGAGCACCTAGTTCTCCCAGACCACGTGTGGTTCTGGAGTTGAAATGGCAGGGGAGGCGCCGGGTACCCTTTTCTCAGCTTGGCGCAGTGATTCAGGTTCTTCATTGCAGACGGCCCTGCCTGTGTCCAGGGCGGCCCTGCCTCTCCCTTCCAGAACGTCCTCTGGTCACAGACAGACCAGGGAGCGGTCAGTGGATCTGAGCAGGCAGAATGACAGCAAACACCCACCCTGACGCTCAGGTATTCCCGGGGGGTGGGGGTCCCAGTCACTGCACATGCGTTTCTAGCAAGTTCCCCTGCTACTGGGTTTGAGTCTACGCAGACTAGAAGGGTGCCGGTGGGGCGAAGGGAAGGAACGCCCTCATTCCTGCTAGCACTGCCAGGCGCTTGCTCGGCCCCTGAGATGCACGTTGTTAATTGCCGCGAGCAGACTCCCACTCCTGGCGCCCGTGCTCAGCAGAATGCGGCGCTGCCTGGTCCTGCCCCGTCTCAAGGTCTCTGTGAGCCGCGGTGGAGGTCGCACAGGATACACGGTGTGTATGTTCACAGCTGAGCGTCCCGCCTTTCGTGGGTGGTCACGGTCCTAGAGACATGTCTTTGGTGTAAATAGTCGGGGTTGTTTCCGTGGGCCTGAAGGTGGCTTGTGAAGGACACATAGGACCTGCTACCCCTTTCACCGACTCAGCCCGGAGTATCTTAACCCCAAATATGCCTGACAGGTTACCCTCCATCTATTTTGTTACCTCGAAGTGGCCAGAGTCAGGGAAGGGTGCTGGCTGGTGGGAGGGGAGGCCTAGCCGACCCCAGGCCTGCTTCCCGGCAAGGCGCAGGGCACCCCTCCTGCTCCCAGCGGGTGCTCACCTCGCAGGATGGTGCCCCTGTGTGGGACGGTGCCACCTCGTGGGCCGGCACGAGCTCCGGGTCACTCCTCAGGGAGCGTCCTGTCCCCAGAGCTGTGAAGTGCCCTCAGCGCGCTTGTGTTGTCCCTGCCTACAAACATGCTGGCCGTTCACACCGACTGTGAAGGCTACTCGAGATAGGACCCATTTTGGGAAAAGGTGACGCTGTGTGTTTTTGTCCGGCTGTGACCCAAGATCTCGCCGTCTGCCCTGGACACCACTGCTGTCTTCCCTACGTTAGCATCGAAGTGACCGTGGTGTCGGAAGTCAGCAGTGACAGCCGTGCCATCGCGAGCCATTCCGCCTCACTCGGCCGAGGCTAATTGCAGGAGAACAGTGTGATTCCTGGAAGTTTTACCAGTTCCTTCCTCTCCATCTGTCCACGCCCGGTGCCTCCTGGTTTACGGAGTGGCTGGGTCCTGGGCCCATCTTTGGAGCTGGTCTGGATAGAGAGAGATGCTCCCTGAATACAATCCAGAAGGCGGTTTAAATGAAATGAGTCCTTAAATCGTAGGCCCCGGCAGAATTTTTCTAAAGCTGGTTTGTGTGTCTTGGTAGTCCTGGTGCCGGCCCGTTTCCTTTCCTGTCCCGTGAGCCCCCGCATGGCTGTCACGCTGCGCGTCCCGGCCCGTGTGTGCTGGCAGCCAGGCCGTTTGTTGCTACCTGTGAGGAAGGTGGGCAGCCTTCTCTTTTCAGTGTCACTGCTGTGGTCCCTGCCGAAAAGCTGATGTCATAGTTGTCCTGACAAATACAAGCAGGTATAGCGTGGTGGCCACAGACCAGAAGCAACGGGAAACAGCTCGGCCAGGTGCTCCTGGGCCAGAAGTCAGGGTCTTGCCGATCTCCACTGGGGACCGTGCGGTCATTCCGCAAAAGGTCTTTTATTTCCCGATTCTGCAAAGAGAAGGGATCCGTGCTGGAGCCAGCGTGCCAACAGGAAGGGCACGTATACGCCCGTGGTCTGCTGGGTTCCTCCTTGCAGGCCCTCAGGGTGAAGTGTTCTCTGCCATGTGAGCGGACTCTGAAGCCAGTGCCTCTTCTGTTCTGCAGATGGACTTTCTGGCCGGGACCAGCCAGTGGAGCTGCTCAGCCCTGCCCGCGTGAACCACATGCCCAGCACAGGTAAGTCGCCCGCGGCCTGTCCGAACTGCCCTGCGCCCCAGCGGTGGGGACTGGGGCTCCACTTTACTGGGGGATGTGAACAGAAAGGGGGGCTGTGGGTTCTCAGACTTGCTGAATTTGGGCGCTCCATTCCTGGGGTCTGTAGGCCACCTTTTCTAGAAATGAATTGGGCATTGGCTCGATGCCGTGAGTGGCAGAGAAATGCAGCCACTCTGTCGTGAGCCTCAAAGGACGCGTTCTTTCTCGAGGTTCCAGCTGCTGAGCTCTCCGGGGGCCGGGGGCACGCAGAGTTCCCGGCTTGCAGCGGGGCCGGGCCGGGTCAGAAGGCTGTGCTGGGGTGGCCAGGCTGCGGCCAGCCACATGGCCAGGCAGATGCCACCTTGTCCTCCCTGGCCCCGCACTCACTCTTCATGGTAAAATGAGCCACCGGGGTTGCTCGTCTTTAATTTAAAAAGCGTCACCCGTGACTGAATCTCCCATCCTGCGTGTGCTATTTCTGAACGCGTGGTACTCCGCGTACGTTCTCTCTCACTCTCGTCCCTGAAGCAGTCTTTCCCAGATCTGTGTGACCGCGCAGACTTGCTCTTCTCGGCTTTTTTCTGTAAAACACCCATTCCTGCACCGTTTCCCCCAGGGACTCTGCTTGACGCGTGGGTGCCCTTCACAGGCCACGTGGCTGTACGAGAGTTAAAACACGACCCTCCACGAGGCACTGCTCTCACCACCCCACGCCACTCCCTCAGCTCTGAGGGCGGCCTGCCGGACACCTGCCGCTGTCACGTCGTGAGGCCTGGTCTCTGTGGCCTTTGACGGCCGCCCCTCCACTGCCCGCTCCGCGCTCCCTGCCAGCCACCTTGTGTCCCGAGGGCAGCACTGGCTGGGGCCGGGGAGGTGGGCCAGCCCAGCATGCCCCTTCCTGGGCCCCCTGGGTCTCCCTGGGCCCTCCAATTGCTCGCCTTCACTCGTCTCCCTTAATCCCGAAGCAAGTGGGCAGCTAGGCTGGGCTTTTCAGAGCAGTGGTTTCTTTCTGCGTGTAGTGACTCCCTGGTCAGCCCAGGACGGCGCTGGGCACTTCCCTGGGCACAGAGCTTGGCTTGTCTCCCTGCCACGCTCCTAGAAGGTGCCCAGGTCCCGGGCAGGCGCTCCGGCCTCCTGCAGGGAGGCCCACAGTGGCTCCTTTATATGGGCTGGCTTCACACACCTCCTCTTCAGCCTCGGTGCCTACCTGCCCAGGATGCTGGGCAGAGAGGAGGGGGTGGAGCTTTACAACAGAATATGAAGGATGTAATCACTGTTGTATTGTGGCCCATGTAGACAGTCTGGATCTTCACGTTCTCCAGAGCTCGTTTGACCGTGTTATTTTTGTTGAAACACTGAATCCTCGTGCAGCGTGAGCATCTGAAGGTGTCTTCTGGCGTGCCCAGGGCTGAGCCTAGACAGCAGATCCTCAGATTGCCCCGGAGGCTGGTCTCTGTGAGTGACGGAAAACGTGGGTGGCCTCCAGGTGAGCAAGAAGGAGGCGGGTTTCACAGTAGGTTTCTACTCGGGAAGTATGGCCTGCCTGTAGGACCTGAAGTGGCCCTGGGCTTCGTGGCCATATGTGGACTTCAGGGCACGTCTGGGGTCCTGGCTCCACTGTGTTCGACTGTGTGACATTAGGCAAGTTACTTAATGTCTCTGGGCTTTGTTTCCTCGTTTATTAGATGAGGATAGTAATGCCTTCTCTGCAGGGTCCTCGTGAAGATCAGATGTGTGTGTCTGATTTTCGGTAGTTCCTGAACCCACGTCGTCTCCTCACGCCCCCTGGCTGGTCCTGATGCTGGCGTGGGGTGTCACCGTCACAGTGGTGGCTCAGGGTCCTAGGACATTTCACACCCGTTCTCCTTCTTGGGGAGAACCGCCCAACTCAGGAGGAATGCTGGGTGGAGATTTGTCTACACCCCATGTAGGTGAGACAAGCCACTTAACTTCCTCCTAACAGGTTCCCGGAGCCCTGGTGGCGCAGTGGTTAAGAGCTCGGTTGCTAACCAAAAGGTCAGGAGTTCGAATCCACCAGCCGCTCCTTAGAAACCCTATGGGGCAGTTCTGCTCTGTCCTGTAGGGTTGCTGTGAGTCGGAGTCGACGACAGCACTGGTTTAACAGGTGCTGCTGGCCAGAGCAGAGGGACATCGTGGCCCCTCCTAGCACTCACTGCACATTTTTGCAACATTGGTTGTCAAACTGTTTGAGAACGATCCTAACCCAGTGCCCACAAGCCCCCCACGGGGTAAGGGGACACACGTGCACAGCAGCACCCACGACCTTGATGTTGAGGCCGCACATGTAGGACGCACCTTAGGGGCAGCTTAAGGTGAAGGGGTCGAGTGTGTGTCAGGGAGGTTGGTCATTCCAGCCCACGGTAAAACACACTCCACAAAGAAGTATTAATCTCAGGCTGTATAATAATTTGAAAATCAATGTGAAATTTTCTTCAAAGCTGCATTTTTATGATATTGGAGTAGAAACGTTCTTAGACTTGTTGTATGTCACTCCCAGCTGGCTTTTGCACATTTTCTAACAACTGAGTATAATCTTGAGCACTCCTTTGCCGCTGGGCTGTGTGAAAACCAGCCGATGTATGTAATTTGCAGGAGTTACCCCCGCGCTTGCTCTGGAAGCGTGTTCTTTAGAACCCAAAGCTCGTGCGGTGGCTGGAAAACATGCACAGATCCTGGCCCCTCCCCGGCCTCCTCTCCTTCCTTGGCTGACCTTGACCTTCTCGTACATGGTGGCCGCTCAGCACTGCCTTTCTTCTGGTTATGGTTCTTCCGGTGGTGCGATTTGTTTGTGCTTGACTGCTAACCTAAAGGTTGACAGTTCAAACTCATGTAGCAGTGCTGTGGAAGAAAGGCCTGGAGATCTGCTCCTGAAAGGTCACAGCGAAGAAAACCTTATGGAACCGTTCTGCTCTGACATATGAGTCTAAATTAACTGGACAGCGGTGAGTTTTTGTTTGTTTTTTAAAAATACGCTTAAACCAAAACCAAATCCATTGCCGTCAAGTCAATTCCAGCTCTCAGTGCCTCTATAGAACAGAGTAGAACTATCCCATAGGGTTTCCAAGGCTGTAATCTTTATGGAAGCAGACTGCCACATCTTTTTCCTACGGAGCGGCTGGTGGGTTCAAACCGCCAACCTTTCGGTTAGCAGCCGAGCGCTTAACCACTGTGCCACCAGGGCTCCTCTAAATACCCTTAGTCTTTAGAAATTCTTATTTCAGGGAAACAGCACCATTCATACCTTTTCTCTGTTTGCCGTCTTGAATTGAGATTTTAGATAATTCACGCAAGAGTATCACTTTTGTTGGAAAATCTATGTTGTAAAAGGAGAAAGTCAAAATACTATTTGTTTTGTATTAATTCATTTTCTTCAACTTCCCCCTTAACTTCTGTAAACATATACATATGGTTCTTTACAGAAATAAAAATTTAAAAAACTTTAAATTTTAATTATAAAATATTTGTGTCTTAAAAAAACCAAACCAAACCCATTGCCGTTGAGTTGATTCCAACTCATAGTGACCCTATAGAACAGAGTAGAACCACCCCATAGAAATTTCAAGGAGCACCTGCTGTATTCAAACTGTCGACCTTTTGGTTAGCAGCCGAGCTCTTAACCACTACGCCACAGGGGTTTCTTCTTTCATAAAAGACATAAAGAAAAAAATCCTCACAACTGGACCAACAAGCAGCATCATGATAAACAGAGAAACGATTGAAGTTGTTAAGGATTTAATTTTATTTGGATCCACAATCAATGCCCATGGAAGCAGCAGTCAAGAAATCAAAAGACGCATTGCATTGGGCAGATGTGCTGGAAAAGACCTCCTTAAAGTGTTAAAAACCAAAGATGTCACTTTAAGGACTAAGGAGCACCTGACCCAAGGTGTGGTGTTTCCAGTTGTCTCACATGCATGGAAAAGCTGGACAATGAATAAGGAAGACTGAAGAAGAATGGATGCCTTTGAACTGTGGTGCTGGCGAAGAATATTGAATATACCACGGACATGCCAAAAGAACTAACAAATCTGTCTTGGAAGAAGTACAGTCAGAATGCTCCTTAGAAACAAGGATGGGGAGACTTTGTTTCACATACTTTGGACATGTTATCAGGAGGGATCAGTCCCTGGAGAAGGACATCATGCTTGGTAAAGTAGAGGGTCAGTGAAAAAGAGGAAGACCCTCAAGGAGATGGATTGGCACAGTGGCTGCAACAATGGGCTCAGGCATAACAATGATTGTGAGGATGGCGCAGGACCGGGCAGTGTTTCGTTCTGTTGTACATGGGGTCGCCATGAGTCAGAACCGACCTGACAGCACCTAACAACAACAGCATCAGAAAAGACATAAAACACTGCCATTGCCTACCATGAAGATATAACAAATATTAATATTACTCTAGCTTCGTGTGTCTTTGTTTCTGTGAAGAAATGAAGTGTGACAATTATGGATGAAGCCATGCCCTTTCTCCCTTCCCAGAGGTAGTCATTATCCTGAAGTCATTATATATCATCTCCACACTATACTATTACTACATAGGTACTCACTGGTGCAAATGGTTAACATGCTCAGCTGCTAAGTGAAAGGTTGGAGGTTCGAGTCCACCCAGAGGCACCTTGGAAGAAAGGCCTGGTGATCTGCTTCTGAAAAATCAGCCACTGAAAACCCTAAGGAGCGCAGTTCTACTCTGACACGCAGGGGGTTGCCATGAGTCAGAGTCGACTTGACGTTTGGGCGGCTCCCGACTGTGCTCTTGCATTCTCCCGGCTTTTCTAGAACCTAGGACAGTGGCCTTGGTACTGTAGGTCCCTGTGAGCAGGAAGGTGGTCCAGCTAGAGAGGAATGGACACCCCCCGAGCGCGGCTCCGTTCTGCTGAAAGCGGCTCTCCTGTGGTTTCCATCACTCTCTAGTCGGACCACTTCTCGAATTCTTTCCTTTTTTCCTACTTTCCTGTCCTTCT